ACAATATTTTGTATTATTGTTGTACCTTTTCTGTTTATCTAATTTGAAATATTCAGAATGCAAGTACAATTTGTACTATGTGTATATATATATATATATATATATATGTACCTATATATAGGAGCCCTTGCTCTATCTTAGCCTCTCATCCCCACCCCGAAAACTTACTCCGGCCCTTGTAATGTATTAGAATTAAGACAGCGGTTTGCACTGCCAAGCCCTCACATTTTCAAACCTATGCACGTTTTGTTGTGATATAATTTAGATAGTGATCTGAACTGTGAAGCCTCGAGATTTTCAAAGTTATGCGCCGTTGCGGTGTTTTACAGTGGAAGAAGGCAATGCATTTGAAACATTACCGAAAGCGCCACTTTGAGTTCGCGCACCGATGCTTACAAACCTTAATAACAGTAATGTTGATAATTGTCCTCTTTCTTGTCACTTATTTTGCACGTGTTTGACGAAAGTACTGTATTTTTACAGTTTACCAAATTAAAATCAAGCTATAACTCATCTAATGTATGAAACGACGCAAAAGGATAAGATTCGAAAACAAGCCAGTTTCTTTTTTACATACTTTATTTGATGGGCTTACCAAATCAAGCTCGTCTTAGCGCATTCAAAGTCTAAGATAATATTTCGATTCTAAAAGTATATGACAGAACAATTTTTAAGTAACTGACCAATAAATATTTCCTAGGCTTTAAAGATACAAGCAGAATTTAGTGTTAACAAGCAATCACGTTTTCTCAACCTAATTTATACCTAATTAATTTAATGCCGTTTTCAACAAAGAATTTAACAACCTGCCATTTTGCATTTCGAATTACCACAGAAATTTCAATAAATAATTTATGCGTAAGAATCCACTTTACCTTGTCTGTTTCACATTGTTCACACTCGGTGGAAAGTAACTGAAGACCAATAAGACATGTTCTTTGTTACCGACTCTAACAATGCCAGAATGCTGGGGCTAACCGCTGAACTGAATGGAAAATCACGTAGCACTCAACAACGTTAGCGTGCCATGAACTGAACGTTCGGTCTCGACACACAGACTGAGAGAAGTGCAGCGTGATATTGGTTACACTCTCCCACACTACAATTTCCTTTCGTTTTATGGTTGGTCACATGAACAATTCCTGCCTATTTCCGACCCCCAGTTTCACATCGGTGAATAAAATTTTACAAAGCACCTCAATAATCCGTACTTGATCGTCATAACAGATCAGAAAATAACTTTTTATCGAAAGAACAGCGTTGAACAACCGCATATTTACATTTTATTTGATCATACATCGAGTTAAACACAGGAAAACACACATTCTGTACAAATATACTCATGTTTGTAGATTTGAAAACACAGTTTCAAATGGTTTCGTAACATACATTTTGTACAAACATACTCAGATTTGTAGATTTGAAAACACAGTTTCAAATGGTTTCGTAACATACATTTTGTACAAACATACGTTTGTGAATGTAAAAACACAGTTTCAAATGGTTTCGTAACATACATTTTGTATAAACATACGTTTGTGAATGTAAAAATACGGTTTCAAATGGTTTCGTTTTCTTGATATAGATATTTCTTATAATATTGGTGCGAAACATTTTCGAGTCCAGCTCATTCCGTCTCTGTCTATCTCTTAGATCTTTTTAGTCTATCTTATCTAAAGTTATGAAATCTTATGTCACCTGTACAAAGAAAGAATGTTATCTGAAATATTGGTAGAAGTAAATAGATAGATATTTTATTTCGTGGTTATTGAACTATACATAACTGTTTTCATTCGTGGATTATACTTACTTAAAGTTATGAAAGTTAGATGATTTATACAACTGTATAGCTGGTTACCCTAATGTATAGATAGGGCTTATTAGCTTAATGCAGTGTTTTCCAAACTTTATATAGTGGTGACCCCCTAACTAAGCAAAGTTTCGTTGCGCCCCTCCTTCACATTAAAATACTTTTCGCAAGTTACAACAGCAAAATTAACATTTTCTATACATTTTAATAATTTTTTAAAATAAACAAAAATACTTGCAAGGACTGAGTAAATGCACAGTGACGGAGAACGGGGGAGGCACGGGGGACATTCGCCCCATCCAAAGTGTAGGCTCTGCTCTCCCCCCCCCCCCCAGTAAAAATTTAAAATAATGAAGGAGTAAATATGTAGAGCCTGTTTTCTAAACTGATGTGCATCAGTTTACTACATAATTATTTCATGGTTTTAAATTTTTTTCAGTTTAAAATGCCCCCCCCCCCCACTCACGACTCGCACG